GGGGGGGGTAGGGGTGTAGCTTTGTGGGTGTTCCCCGGGTCTTCCTCCCTCTCTCGTGGGTGCGCGCTCGCGCGGGCGCGTCCGCCTGTCCATGCGCCGAGGCTCAGGGATTCTTGCCAGCTGCCACGGGCAGGGATCACCCCCACGCACATGCAGCTGCTTGTGCGCGCGCGCGCGCGCGCCATCTGCGGTCTGCCGGGCGCGCCCCACCGCGGGCAAAGGGCCAGGCGGGGGCTTTTTCGCTGGCCGTACCCGAGTTAGACCGGGCCCATCTGGCTAGAACGACTCTTTCTCTCTCTCCCCCCCCCCCTCCCGCCCCCCCTCTCCCTGTTCCTGCTCATCCCGCTCCTCCTGTCCTCTCCCTTCCTTCCTTCCCTCCTGCTCCTCCCCTGCCCCCTCGCTCCCCCTTTTTCGTCTGCTCTTCCTGCCGGGCCCCATCTCCATCCCTCCCTCCTGGTCGGACGCCGGTGGATCGCTCCCGGGCGCCCCTTCTTCTCCTACCCCGGCCCAGCATGACCGCCACAGCGACCGCCTCCTCGCTGACGGACATCGGCCGGGCCCTCCCGCCTGGCCGGACACCAGCCCCACCACCGGCCACGACGACGACCACGACGACGACGGCCCAGTGCACTATCTGCGGCCTGCCCGTGAGCGAGCCCCCGTCCGCGTCTCGCCCCTCCCTATCGGCAGCCTCGTCAGTGGCCTCGGTGGCCTCGCTCGGCAAGTCGCCAGGCCTCGGCCCGGACTCCACCAACACGGTCATCATCTCCGAGAGTCTGGCCACCCACCGTGAATGCGTCCTCTTTTCCTCGCTCCAGGTATGCCTTCTGCCCCCCCCCCCCCCCTCCCCGACTCCCCCCTATTCCGACTTCCCTGCTTGGACATGGCTGCCCCTCTTGGTGGCGATCACGGCTGCTGACTCCCTTCCACCGTCCCCGTCCATTCGCCGCAGGACCAGGGCATCGACTCCGAGGAGCAGGTGTCCTTCTGGCGCCTCTTCTACTTCAAGGCCCTATCGCGCGTGTTGGAGGCCGAGCCCCGGTCTCTGGAACTCGGCTTCCGCCTGAATGAGTCGCTCAATGCGCTCAATGCCCAGAAGGCCGAGCTCGACAGCCGGGCACAGGAGTACGCCGCCCGCTTGTCTTTCTCCTGGCCCCTGCCGTGTTCCCCCTCCGCCCGCCCGCCCGCCCGCGCTCTCTCCATGGGCCCGTTCGCTAACTTCCCCGCTTTTCGCCTGGCAGAATCAAGACCCTTCGCGGCGCGCTGGCACACCATGGTATGGACCGAGTCCCTCGCTGGGCCACTCGCATATGCCCCCACCGACTCCCACTCACACTCCGCTCCCCTGCCCCCCCCCCCCCTGCTTGGCTCTCCCTTCGCCCTTGTGCATCACAGCAAACACCCGCGCTGACGGTCAGCCTGCACCGGCCCACTCGATCGAGTCCTTCGATACGGCGGCCAAGCTCCGGCACTTGGACTCTCGCCACCGGGCCGACATTGCGGTCCTGCTGGGGCATCTGAATATGCTTCAAACGTCGCTCACCAAGTTCACTCGTGGTGCGTGCATTGCTGGCATGCGTTCGCTCCCTTTCGGGTCTCTCTCTCTCTCTCTCTCTCTCTCTCTCTCGGGCCGGCTTCCATCTGCGCGGCTCTGGCCACCATCCTACCGCGGTTTTCTGACACTGCGCATGCCTGCCCTTTGCAGAGCTCTCGGACTGCATGGACGCCTTCCCCGAGCCGGGGCACATCCCGCCACAGGTGCGCACGCTCATTTGCCCGGCCCGTGGGTGCCAAATGACAAGCCGCTGACCGCCACATGCCCCTGCTCGCGTGGTCGTCCGTAGCTGGTGGACTTCCGCAACCGCTTTGGCGCCTTTGCCACCATGGCCGCCTCGAGGCAGCCGCAGGACCTGTCCGGCCTGAGTAGGTCCTCGGGGTTCCTCCGGCCCGGGTCATCGGGCCGGCGGTTCTCCATTGCCGATGCCTCGCCTCCATCTTCCCCCCTGCCTTCGGGCCCCGGGGCCAGCCGCCGGCATTCGGTGTCACACATTGGCACGGATCCCGACTCCGGGACCCTCTTCCTGCCCAGCACGCTGACCGCCCTCAGTGTCATTGGGCTGACACAGCCAACGCGCGTGGCCCAGCCGGATGAGCTGCCCACCAGCCTGGCCAAGCTGGTTCGCGATCGCCGGCACTCGGTGGATCTCGGGACATATCGCCAACGGCAGCTGGCCGCCCTGGCCAGCGGAACGGCCGGCAACAGCCCCTCCGGGTCGCCCCTTCTGGCGAATATCCTGACCAGCGACTCGGTGCCCGGCAGTCCCGCCGGGCACTCGGTCATCCCCGGGTCGTCGGCCGCATGGGCTCGGACCTCGGCCGAGCGGCGGCAGCAATCGCACGAGTCGCTGGACTCCTCCAAGTCGCCGGACAGCTCCGCCTCGCCGGGTGCCTCTCAAGCGCCGCAGCCCCCCTCGATCGGGCCGCGCCCGGCCGAATCCATCATGAAGGTGGACAATGGCCGGGCTGCTGTCCCCGCCACGGACCAGGCCCCTGGGGCCCGGGCACCGAAGGCGCAGCACCCGCTGCTGGCAATGCTGGCCCGGCGGCCGTACTCGCCGCTGTCGCTCGATGAGGCCATGGCCCTGCTCTTGGCTCGGTTTTCCGGGCTCGACCGGGAGCTGGTCAATTCGGCCACCATCCCGTCGAATGTGTGGGACACGGCCGGGGCCGAGGTGCGGCCTGGCGGGCGGCTGCGGCACTCATCCTTCTGCGATCCCCTGATGCCCGGGTTGACGGGGGCCGTGCGCGTTCGCCAGCTGGCTGTCGGCCAGTCCGGGGTTCTCTACCCGCCGCAGGGGTCCCAGTCGGGGTCCGCCCACTCGCGGGGCCGGCGCTTTTCGCTGTCCCACCAGTCGGCCACACGCGCCGGGCTGGTGGACCCGGAGGCTGATTTTGCCGGGCCCCGGCCGGTGTCCCACCCGTGGGTCAGCCTCTGGCTGCTACTCCAGGGCGAGAGGCTGTTCTTCTTCCACGAGTCGCGTCCCGGCCGCGGGGAGCCCCTCTTTTCCCTGTCCATGGCCGGGCTCCGGGTGGAGGACATGTCGGTGGGCATGGATCAGCCCGCGCCCGGGGATGCGGTGACCCCGATGGCCGGGGTGCCGCCGACCCCCGGCGCCTCGCCGGGGCTGCTCCCCACCGCGGGGCTTCTTCCCGGCGGCCAGACGCCCACCTCGCCCGTGACGCCGACCACCGGCGGCCGGGGCACCGCCCCGCCCAGTCACCTGGTGATGCTCCAGTCCTCGAGTGAGGGGGAGTGGTTGCTGGAGCTGCCAGCCGTGCAGTACTCGCACTGGGTGTCGTACTTGCACTTGGCCAGTGGCTTGCGGCTGCTGCCGCTGCCTCCGCGGAGCCGGCGGCTGCCGCTCTACTTCGATCTGGCCCGGTCGCCGGAGCTCCGGCCGGCTGATTCGGACTCCGGCGGCCCGCCCGGCGGGGCCCCCGGGCTCGGGGACCGCCACGGGCGGCTGGAGGTCCTGGCCGGGGCCTTCTTCATTCCCCATGTGCTGGAGGAGACCCGGTCTTTCCTGAGCGTCCACCGCTGCGCCGTTTGCGCCTCCTACATTTTGACCAAGTCCTACCGGTGTCGGTACTGCCAGCTGCACAGCCATCTGTCCTGCTCGGCCCGCCTGCCGGCCGATTGCTGCCTGCCCAGCAGCCTCGGCCATCGGGGCTATCTGGAGGAGGCGCCGGCAGCCGACTCGGAGGACTCGGCCCCGGCCGCCCCGGCCGAAGAGTCAACCCCCTCCACCGGGCGCCGGCGCTCGGTCCTTCTCATGCGGCGCTTCAGCCTTGGTTCCAAGGCTGCCGAGCCGGAGGCCGACATGCCGGCGCCTTCGGCCCCGTCGCCGGCTTCGGCCCCGGCCCTGCCAGTGGACCTGGTGGACTTGACTGCGGGCGAGGTGCCGGCGGTGGCCGGGCCGACGCCGCATTCGGAGCCGGCATCGCCAGCTCGGGCGTCGGGCGGCCGGCGGCCGTCCTTCCTCTCGCCCAAGCGCACGTCGACACCGCTGCCGCTGGTTCCGGCGTCGCCTTTGCGCGTGGACACGGCCGTGGCCATCCCCCCGCCGCCCTCCTCGCCGCCGGGCTTTGGTGGGGGGTCTTCCTCGGCTGGATTCTCGCCCGCAGGCGAGCGCCAGCTGACGACCCTGCCATCGCGCCAGTATGCCCTGGTGTTTGGCCCGCTCCTGGACCAGAGCACCTGCTCGATCCCGGAGGCCTTGCTACTGACGGCGCCCAGCAGCCTGGATTCCGACCTTTCCGAGGGGGATCTCTCCCGGCGGGGCAGCTTGGTGGCGGCCGCGGCAGCCGGGTCCCGGCGCCGGCCCCCGCCTCGGTCCCCGGGCGATGGCCCCCTGCCGGGGTTCTTCCCGCTGGTCCCGGATGCGGCGGCCAGTGCCGCCGCGGCCGGGGGCCGGCTGCCGGTGGTGCTGGTTGTGTGTGTGCGAGCCATCGAGCGCCGGCTGATCAGTGCCGCGGTCGAGGCGTACGGTCCGGCGGGGCCGGGCTCCAATGGCCTGGCCCTTGACGCGCTGCTGCCCCATGTGTCGCCGATTTTGATCCACTACTTGCGAAAGACGGCGCAGGATCGCGATGCCCGGGGGTCGGTCCCTTCATCCAGTCGAAACAGCATCGCCTCCTCCCTTTCGGACATCAGCATCCAGTCGTCGGTGTTCTCGCTCGGGAGCGATGTCTCGTCACTTATGTTGGCCCCTGCCCTCGGGGGCCCTGGCCCGGCCGTACTCCAGGCCAGTCTGGTCGGCCTGTATCATCAGCCGGCCGACTCGCCGGCATCGCTGCTGCGCGCGGCCAGCCAGGTGGCCGCCGTCTGCCAGGACGCCCTCGGCACGGACCTCGGCACGGCCGTTGACGACTCGGCCACCCCGCCGACCGAAACCTTCTCGCCGATCGAGCATCACTGTGCGTTTGCAGCCCCATGCGCCATCCATCCATGTCTGCCGATGCCCCTGCCTGTGGCGGTCTATGGGTTTCCTCCTGACACGTCCATCTCCCCTGCCCCCTCCCCCCCCACCCGCCCGGCATCGGTGGGCCATTTGTGCCTGCTTGTCGGGCCATCGGAAAAGCCTCCGGCGTCAGTCCCCACTGCGTGGCGCACGTGCTGAAGCTTTGGCTCGGGTCCATTTCGAGGGATCTCTTCAGCCGGGCTCTGCTGGTGGAGCTGGTGGCCCTGCACGCGCTGCCATCGGTGCAGGCGCTCCTGGCCACCGGTGCCGGTGACGTCTCCTGCGCCTCCTCCGGCGATGGCCTGGGCGGTGCCTCTTCACAACAATCTCTCGATGCCGGGGGGGCTGGTCAGCAGGCACTGCCCCAGCATCGCCGGCAATGCGGGCAGTTCCTCCTGAACCGCGTTCGGCAAATCCTGTCTCTCCGTCTGTCCGGCTTTGGTTTCGCCATCGTCCGACATCTTCTTGTCCATCTTTCTTGGTGCGTCGGCCCCGCCGGACAGGGCTGGAGCTGGGCGAGGGGGGGGGGGGGGGGGGGGGGGGGATGGGGCACAAAAAGCAGGGCGCAAGACCGGGCATGGGCTGGTGCTTCTCCCTGTCTCTGTCTCTGTCTCTCTCTCTCTCTCTCTCATGGCGCCCAGTGTCATTTGTACATTTCTTCTTCTTTTTTTCCATGCTCCTCGCTCGTCTACTCACGCATCTGTCTCGCCCTCCGGGGATGGATGCAGTGTTTCCAAATTCTCCCCCATCACTCGGACCACAGCTCCGATGCTGGCCCGCTCGATGGCGCCCTTCCTCTTCTCGATCGGCTCGCTTGATGCCTCCCTCTTCCCGCGACTGGTGCGAGCATCGGCCATCTGCTGTCGACCTGCTGCCCGGGTGTTTTCTAACTTTCCTCCCCCTCGCGCCTGCCGTCCTTTTCTTTTCCTCGGCACTCGGGGGACGCGCGTCCGTCAGGAGCCCCTCTTGGAGATCATGATCAACCAGGCTCACACCCTCTTCATTCAGTCACCACTCTGCCATTGCACCACGTGAGCGGGGCCGGTGTCCGGTCGGAGCAATACACCCTGCGCTGCGGGCCCGCCGCCACTCCTATGCGTGCGCGTGGCCCGTGTGTGCGCGTGCGTCCTTGTCTATTCCGCGAATCCTCCTGTGCTACAGTGTGTTCCCCTCGCCAAGGGGTGAAGCCGGGGGGAGACGTGAGGGGGCCTGGGGGGCCTGGGGGGCCTTGGGGGGGGGAGGGGGGGAGGCCTTTAGCGCGCAACCGGAAACTAGGGGGGACTCCACGCCCCGGGGCATGCCCTGCCCCCCTCCCCACCATGCCCTCGCGCTCTCTCTCTCTCTCTCTCTCTCTCTCTCTCTCTCTCTCTCTCGCCCGACACACACCTCATGCAGGGATCAAGCTCCGGTGCTGATGGGGGAAAAGAGGGGTAGGGGGTAGGGCCCTCGCGCGAGGAGCCCGACATGCAGGCGGCCCTCGGAGATCTTTTGCGCAAATCCCGCGGAGAAACACCCGGCCCCTGGTGGCGACATTGTGTTCTGATCGGGCGTGCACGCGGGGGGCAAGCTAGGATGTGCCGTCCGAAGCTGTGGGGAGGTCGGAGTCGATTCAGCTGCGCGCGCCCGACTGCTCGGCCCCCTCGACCACCCGGGGCAAAACGCCAGCGGGTGCGAGAATCCGGCGACCGGTGTTTTCCCTTTGGGGGGGGGGGGGAACTCAGGATCTATCGGAGACGTATCCCTGTGAGAATGGTCACTGATGGGATGCAGAAAAAAGGAAGGCAAGTCAGTTGGCAGGGCGGAGCGGACGGGCGTGTCCTGACACACACACACACACACACACACACACACACACACACACACACACACACACACACTCACTCGCACACACTCACTCGCGCACACTCACTCGCGCGCACATGCACAAACGCATGTTCCTTTCGCATGGGCATGCGCAGGAAGCGAGCCGAGGCCCAGGCGTCGCATGTAAAAGCACACTGCGGCGGCCGCCTCCCGCGCGCGCGACCCCTCGATGGGGATCTTCCCGGCTGGAAAGCGGGCAGATTTTCACACGAAAATACTCGATGAAATAAGTCACCTGACTAGATATCGAGCTGTCGTTGGCTCTTTCTCGGGGTCTCTCCCTTGTTATGGCCATCTGGCGTCCTCCGGACGAGAGAAAGCCGGAGGAAGATCCCCGGGGCATGAGAGTGGAAACGGGAGAACGTTCGCTCCCCCCCCGCCCCCCGGGAAGGGGGGCGTGCAGCCTCCCTTCCTACGGGGCGGTGGCTAGCTAGCCCAAAGTGCGTTGAAAAAACCCCCCCCCCCCCCCACCCCCTTTCCTGGCATGTACATCTCTCCCTGGTTAGACCGACACCGATCGACAGTTGCTCCGGCCCTGGGGGGCCCCAAGCGCCGGACCCTTCGGGCTCTCTGTCATGCCCCCCCCCTTGGGGTCGACTTCCCCCAGTGTGGCCGGTTGGATCGGCCCTTGCGTTGGCTGACACGCCTGCCCTCCCCCCTCCCCGATGCTCGAGTCAGCGATCCCCCTCCTTCCTCCCCCACCCCGTCCTCCCCCTCTCTCCCATAGGGGTGGCGAGGAAACGCCTGGCTTATATTCCCCCTCGCGCGCCCCGCCCCGCCCCGCTTCGCACCGTCCTCCCGAAGGAATTTTCCGCTCGTCGGCTTGGTCGCGGGCGACGGTGTCGACCGGCCGAGCATGATGCTCCGGGGCGCGCGCCAATGGCAACGATTCTTTCATTAACTGCCTGGCGGGATGCCGCGACGCCCTCCCATGCAGCAGGGCCAGTCGCATGTCAGCCTTACACGGAGCAAGCAACACTGTACCCTGGTCTCCCTTGTCAGCACATGCGTGTGTGAGTAAATGTGTGTGTGTGTGTGTCTCTCCCCTCAGCCCGCCGGGGAGCATAAGTCCTCGGTGTTTCCATCGGGACATAGGCCCACCGGGAGGATTGAAAGGCTCGGACAGTGGCGCGTAGACGGCAGGTGCAGAACAAAGTCGATCCCTCCCCCCGCCCCTTTGTTTCCGCTGCCCCCTCTACCTTCGCACCCTTCTGCTACTCCGCCCGCCGTACTTCCTTTTGGGGCCCCACTGCGTTCCCCATTTGTCCTTCCCATCTTGTTGTCGGTGCGATGATCTCTTCCTGCATGTGCCTCCTCTCCTCGTGTGTGTGCATGTGTGTGTGTGTGTGCATGTGTGTGTGTGTGTGTCCGAGCACATGCCGCGTCCGCTTCACCTGCAACATTCCCCGCCAGCCGACGCTGTGCCATGCCCCCTCCATGCCTGCCCTCCCTGCCACGCCTGGACTGACCTCTTGACCCTCCTCCGTATCTGTGTCCCGACATACATCCCCCGCCCCTCCCCCTTGCACACACACACACATGCAGTTACCACGACGCGGCCCCCCTCCGAGGCACCATGTGGTTCGAGATCGTCATCTGCGGTGTATTGGTCCTCGCCACGCTGGCAGTGTATGACTACTTCTACAATGCCGGGACCAATGCGCCAGGGCCTTTCGGTTTGCCCTTCGTTTACCAGCTGGTATGTCCGACCAATGTCCACGACACAGACACAGGCCCCCCCCATATCCCCTTTCGCACACACACATACACACACACACACCGCCATACATTCATGCATTCATGCATGCACACATGGATCCCGGCTCGTGGACTGACGCACACGCCCCAATGACCCCCGCCATCCCTTGGCCCCTGCCTTTGCCCCCCCTCCCCCCCCCTTACCGTGCCATAGATTGAGGCTCACCGGATTCTCGGTCGGCTGGACGAATATCTCGACGAGACGCGCCGCATCTACGGGCCGACTTTCCTGATGCGCGCGCCGGCCGTGCCGCCCTTCATTGTCACCGTGGACCCGGCCAATGTGGAGCACGTGCTGAAGACCAAGTTCTCCAACTACATCAAGGGCGAATTCTTCACCAGCAACCTGGAGGACGTCCTTGGAAAGGGAATTTTCAATGTTGACGGCGAGGCATGGAAGCGCCAGCGCAAGATCACGAGCCATATGTTCAATGTGCGTGTGCCAGGCCCCCCCCCCCCTCC